CAATGGGACTACGCCAAGGATAGGGTCATGTTCTCTGTGCCGCTGGTCTCTCACAGTGACAGTGATGATAGCTGATCGCCAGTCACGCACAAACCGTTCGGTTCCCGCGTTGAAGATTGGCTGAGACGTGACTGCTTTAGTACGTGTCCGATATACCAACTCATCATTGAAGAGAATTGTACAGTAGCTGCTAGGAAGGTCTTCACCAGTCTCCTTTTTGCCCTCTCCATATGGCTTCGCAGGCTCATACTCACGGCCTTTGGGATTGGAACTTCCCTTTACGTTCTCTAGTTCGAGGTTGACAATCTGCTGTACGACTACGCTGCATATACCGCTGGGCCACAGCGGATCAGGCGGAGTGTGCATAACAGCATCGTCAGTTTCGGAGTTGATTACACCCTTATCGTCCTGCAGCGCAGGGTCGTCCCTCAGCTCATCGGGAAGAGCCTTATTCTTACCATCCGTCCGCAACTCTTTCCTAAACTTAGGCTTGCTGAAATAACCAATTTCCCAGTGCAACTCTCCCGGCATGTCGCTACCAGGCTCCATGCCTGCCAACTTGGAAGTTTGCGGGTACATTTTACCAGGATGCTGAATCATTTTCTGCATAGAGATCTCCACCTTTCCAACAATATCGTCGGCAGTGTGCCGGTCGGAATCCCAGAGCTCAACACTCAAGTTTTCGTTCGCTTTGATCAGTTCAGGGCCAACAAGAATGGCCGCCGTTTCCTCCCATATGGGGTTGAGGTCGTCTGTGATGACCCGAGTGCAGTACATTGGCTTGCCATATTTGGAGAAGGCAATCGTAATGTATGGATCGCTGCCGCCATGCTTTGATCCGCGTCGGTCTTGCTTGCTCAAACCGACGGCACGATGAATGCGAATCCACAGAACACCAAGCGCCTCAGTGTCCTTCTGAACGGAGTCGCCTTGAAGAATGGCGCGCATATCAATGGACATGGATTTGGGGGCGACATACACTGCCTTTGTTAGCATCTTTCAGATGAGCCATGCGTTGCGGAAATGTACATACTACTTGCTGCCGCTTTGATGGCGTAGTTGACAAAGTTGCTGATCAACGGAAGGTTCAGAATGTTGACTCCCTTCTCTATCATGGGGATACAGCCTGCCGTCACTTGCGGCGTACCCATCAACGTGAACGTCAGGGTTTTGAGGAATGGAGGCTCGGGTGTCATGTTTAAGCGTAAGCGCACTGTGCCAACGAGGCCCTGCAACTCGACAAATATAGGTAGAGGAACACCAAAGAGGCCCTTAATACCCAAGTAAAAGACCAGCTGCATATGCATGTTGCGGGCCCTGTCAGAAACTCGCTTGCCGCTGGGACTGGCGTGATATGCAAACGAGACCTCTAAGTTGTAGTAATCGCCACCTTCTTCATCTGCTGCTGCCTCTTGTGGGTCTTTCTTCCTTTTGTTCTCTTCGTGAATGGATGCCTTCATATCACCCATGTGTGAGTCTGGCAGTGCTCGCAAGCTCAGGATGCGCAGTGGGTTGCTGCCTTGGTTGATTTCAGCAACACGAACATTTTCAATAACTCCGGGAACCGAAGCTTGCATGACATCCTCCAGCATGTCGGCAACACCCGAAAACATTTCAGGGTTGATAAGACCCCAGGCAATACTGAGAAACGTGTTCATCCATTCGACTGACTCTGGAAGCAAGTTCAGTGATGCCTAGGTGGTCGGTGATTAGTAAATGCTAAGCAGGCATCATTTCCAAGGGAACCTACCATTTGGCCACGGACTTGCTCGCTGTCCCACTCTACCTCTCTTCCACTGCGGATGACTTCCTTCATCCAAAGATAGACAGCCGATGCTAAGCACACGGCTAGAGGAACAAGGCCTTTTAGCGCGCCACCAAAGATCTTGCCGACCACAACCGTTCCTACGAGTATTCCTGCGCAGAGGACATTGGCGCGGGCCTCAAGGGCCTTGAACATTGGCTCATAACTGACTGAGGGTGTAGGGTGAAAGAGGACGTTTGTCTTTTCGCCGTGGATGGGCACGTCGGTTGTGGTTCCTTGGGCAACTGGGTCTGGGGGTGCAGTGACATCCTGGTTGTGCTTGTAGTCCTGGAGCGATTGCGAGGGACTTGTCTTGATGGGCTGAATGTTGTCAGTTGAGAAGTTGGGGGAAAATAAGGTGTGTTTGTTCCCTACCGTCTCCTTGTTCAGGTTCGCATTGGGGACGACGATATGGGGGTTTTCAACCTCGTTGATCATGTCCTTGCTGACGTCGGCGATGATAACTTCCCTGCCAGTGGTTGGATCTGTGACTCGCTTCTCGGTGCCCTTGAGCTGTTTCTCTGGTAGTTTGCTCTCTGTTGCGGGCGGCCCCTGCTTCTGGGTAGCCTCTTGGTCGATTCTTTTGTCACGGGCTCTCTTGTCCTTGTCTAAGTTTTCGACGAATTGCTTGACGGTGGGGATGGGGTTGTGCCCCGAGTAGTGGCCGCCCGGGGCATGCTGCTGCTGCTGTTGTTGTTGTTGCTGCTGCTGCTGCTGGTACTGCGACTCCATTGTCAAATCGGAGTCCCTATGAGTGACGGCCCAGGTCTACAAGAGGGACATGCGTGAGGGTTGCAAGGGTCAATGGGCATATATCGAGCAGAGGTCGAGCATGCGGCTAGCGGCCATGTCCGGCTGAAGGATTGAAAGCAGGGAATCATCAGATCAATGACCAGGCGCGCGCGGGGCGGAAGGCTGGCAGGCATGTTCATGACGTAGTAGGCAGGCACCACTTGCTCCTGGAGAAGGTGCAGCCCGGTTACCAGAAGCACACGACGCGCCCATTGTGTAGCCTTGGCTTCTGTTTGTGGCGCGACCAGAAGGGGGCAGCATGTCCACTGTGGCTGTATTGCTGGCACTTGGCTGTGCACCATCCATACCTGTGGGCGCATGCATAATGTATGTGTGGTATGTACAACACAGTACACACACACACGCACACAAGCTAGAAACGAGAATGCGGGTGCGGGCATTCACATTGTCGTCGGCGCATCATGATCCTCGTACTTCTCCTCCTACCTTGGTGCTACCATGTTCCGATGACGTCGACGCGCATCACCTTACTTGGCCAATCAGCACTCCGCGGGGCCGGCCAACCCCCGGCCAACTCCTCCCTCTCCCCCGGCTTGAGACGACTTGACTCGACTCTCTGACTACTGTACGTACCATTGTTTGATTTGGACATACGAGCCACCCGCACCGAGTTTCTGCCATACTAGTCTACGTGTGTGCGGATACACGACATTGGGCACGCACCAGGATATGTCGGGCTGGTTCACTCTCTTCACGAATTGCCGCTACATTCTCAATGGCAAGCTCGTCGAAGACCACCTTGTCATCTCTGACGAGACGGGGCTTATCCTCAGGAGGGAAGGCTACATTGGTGGCGAGGCAATCGACTTGGAAGATGCCATCATCGCCCCAGGCTTTCTAGAGCTGCACACAAATGGTGCCAATGGCTTCCACTTCACGCATTTTGAAGACAAAACAAGCTATGACAACAAGATTGACCATCTGGCGAGGTACTATGCAACACAGGGCGTGACTGGATTCTGGGCAACACTACCTACCATACAGGCTGACGAGTTTCAAAAGGCACGTCTCGTGTCCACGTCTGGGTTGCATACCGACAAACTGACTTGCATGTTGGCAGATTCTCCCATCGCTCACCCCGCGAGACATAGCCTCATCAGCTTCGCTTCTGGGTGCCCACACAGAAGGGCCCTATCTACACCCTTCCAAGAAAGGCGCACATAACAGCTCTCTCTTTCACCCTTGTGCCGTCCCTCCAGCGACTGTCTACGGATCTGCACATCTTCAATCTGCGGTTAGACTCGTCACAATCGCTCCAGAGTTACCCGATTCGGCAGCCCTCATCAAATCGTTAACGTCCCAGGGTATCAGAGTCGCAATGGGCCATTCCACTGCGACCTACGAACAAGGCCTAGCTGGACTCGGTGCAGGGGCAAGCGGACTGACTCATACGCTGAATGCCATGCCGAGCTGGGCATCCAGAGCCCCAGGTCTGGCCGGGCTAGTCTCCCTGCCAGAAACAGCAAAGGTTGCACCTCCATGGTACACAATCATCGCAGATGGGGAGCATCTCCATCCCAACACAGTATCTCTACTTCACCGTTCGAGCCCCAAGCGTTCGATTGTCATTACTGACAGTATTGAGCTTGCTTCTCTCAAGGATGGAACCTACCCTGGCCACTCACAGATCCCCTTTGAACAGGTCAAGAGTGGCACACGGGCTACGATAGCCGGAACCGACACCCTGATTGGAGGGTGCATCCCACTCCAGCAGAGTGTGAGAAACCTGATGGATTGGTCTGGGTGTGGCATTGCTGAAGCGGTGGGCACAGTCACTGAGAATGTGGCGGCCTTTATGGGCATAGACGGGAAAGGTGGGAGGGGCATACTGCAAGAAGGTAGGAGAGCTGACTTGACCGTGTTGAGTGAGAAAGGCGAAGTGCTTCAGACGTGGGTGGCTGGACACAAAGTGTGGGATAGGGAAGAAGCCCTAAGTGCTCACGAAGAGGATGGCGAGGCGAGGAGCTGATCTATTCATCGTGGGCATAGCATATTGCCCTGGCGCATGAGGACAAAGCTGATGGAAAGTAGATAGGACACGCGAGCGGCAGTATATTTGACACCTTGTTCAACTAAGACTTCCGCATAGTTCGTTGACAGTTGCTTGTATCGCCACATTCGAGCCGCTAATTCAGGTAAAATCCAAAGCAGTAGATACCGGACGACAGGTTGATCTCACGCGCATATGTCCAAGTCAGTGAAGATCTGGGTGCCTTGCGGGCAGGCCATCCATGAAGCTGAGATGCCCTCGGCGTGCGCGTTGGTGAAAGAAGGCCCATAAGCTGCCGTTTGCAGATTTTGTGCGCACGCGTCGCTTAGTCATGCGCGCTAACGTGGCGCTAACAAGTCCTTGCAAGTCCTCAACTTTCCCTGTACCTCTGCCATGGAAACTCTTGACAAGACCGAATGGGACGTGCTTATTGTAGGCACCGGCCTACAGCAGTCTCTTCTTGCTCTGTATGTGCCTTGTCTCGTAGCGCTAGGGGGTTGCTATCTGACTGACGCAGCACTTGAAGAGCTTTGTCACGCTCGGACAAGAAGATTCTCCATGTCGACGAAGATGACTTTTACGGCGGTACCGAAGCTGCCTTTAGTTTACAGGAAGCTGAGGACTGGGCGCAGCGGTTGAAGCAAGGTAAGGATGAAAGCCATCACTAAAGCACGCTGTCGCTAAATCTCCAAAGCACCAACAGATGCTCCCTTCTCCCATATCACAATCACCAAGCCCGAACCCAGCCCGGACAACTTAGCTCCAAATCTTTCGGTTTCAAGAGCATATAACCTATGTTTGAGTTCCCAGATAGTGTATGCTCGCTCCTCTCTTCTGGGATACCTCGTCTCGTCAAGGGTCTATCGTCAGCTTGAGTTTCTTGCTGTCGGCAGCTGGTGGGTGTACTCTAGAGGCGCACAGAGCGAAGGTTCTGTAGCTCCAGAAACCACATCTTCACATGGAAGACTGTTGAAGGTTCCAAACGGTCGCGAAGATGTCTTCCAGGACCACCAATTGGACTTTAAGGCGAAGCGCGCGTTGATGAAATTCTTGCGTTTTATTGGCGATTACGAAGAGCAGACCGACGTCTGGGAAGAGTTCGGACAGCAGCCATTTGCGGTGTTTCTTAGGGAACAATTCAAGATTCCAGCAAATTTGCAGGCGCCATTAATGGCCCTCACGCTATCAACAACGCACTCGTCCCAGACGATGACGGAGACTGCCCTGCCGCGAATTGCGAGGCATCTGCGATCAATTGGTGTGTTTGGACCTGGCTTCGGGGCTGTTGTGCCGAAATGGGGCGGTTTGTCGGAAATCAGTCAGGTGTCCTGTCGAGCATGTGCGGTTGGAGGTGGAGTTTACGTGCTTGGAAAAGGCGTTGCTCCACCCATGGAGGGTGCTGCGGAGGTTGACAGCAAGGGCACCAGACTTCGTCTGAAAGATGGCGAAGAGATTGTTGCACAGTGGGTTGTAGGAGGAAGCACCTCAACCAATGCCGAGGCTACGTGCTGCAGATCGATCAGCATTGTCTCGTCTTCGTTGCTGAGCCTGTTCCCTCCAATTGCGGAAGAGGCACCAACACCGGCGACGGCTGTGGTTGTTTTTCCATCTGGCTCGTTGATGGCGGGTTCGGAAGCTGAAGAGCTTCCACCCGTTCATGTCTATGTGCATTCCAGCGACACGGGCGAATGTCCTACTGGCCAGTGTAAGTGTCTTCCCCTTCCTCCTTCTCTCTCTATTTGCTTCTATGATGAACAAACTTTCAAATCTTATCTACATTGTCTGAATACCACTGAAGACAATACCTCTGACAAACTGACACAACGGCACTCTACCTACCATAACAATGTGCGGATCATCGTGGCCATTATACGGCTGACTGTCAACTAGGTGTACTTTATGCTCTAGTATCTCTAGGGGGGTCAAAGGGCTTTGCTTTGCTCGATCAGGCAGTTGATTCACTTCTCTCTACCTTGGACATCACACCGGCACCTAGGGTACTCTGGTCAGCCAAGTACCAACAGCAGCCGTCGTCTGGATCCAATGTCCGCCCCTGTGAGTCAGAGAAGATACTTTGCTTCCCGCCGCCGCCCGTGGAGCTTGCTTTCGATGACGGGATCCTCGACAACGTCAAGAGCGTGTGGGAGAAGGTGATGGGTCAGGAAGGAGGCGAATTTTTGGTTTTCCAGGACAGGGAGACGTATACGGATGATGATTGAGGGACAGTCTATAGTACGACGAAATGATCACGAAAGACACGAGTAGAACATGGAACACCACCGGGCGAATGCAATTATGACTGGCCACGATGTCGTGGCAGATGTTGTTCGTGGTATTTTGATGCATTTGCTCATTCGTGAATGTATTTTTTAAGGCTCCTCAGACGCTCCATGGCCCTCTCGAGAACATCGTCATTTTTGCAGACTGCGAAACGCAACCAGTCCTCCACAATATAGGCATTTTCCGGAGTAAAGAATTCGGTCGGGGGGATGGCGGCGACACCCACCTCCTTGATGAGAAACCAACTGAGCTGAAAGTCCCTAGGGCGTTCTGCGACGTGTGGTGGAAATTGGTAGTCTTGGGGTAGTTTGACTTTTGACATGTTGACAAGGACAAAGTAGCCGCCCTCGGGGTCTGAGTAGGGCAGGTTGAGCTCGTCAAAGACGGCGGTGAACTTGTCCATTTTGGCCTTCATCTCCTTCTTGGAATCGTCCCAGAAGTTGTGAGCATCGGCCTGCTCGAAGCCAACAGCCGTGGCTTCTTGCAAGGGGGAGACACTGCTGTAGCAGATGCGAGTATGGGCGGCACTGACGTACTTGATGAGATGCTCGGGACCGATGAGCCATCCTACTCTCCATCCCGTGGCGTAGAAATTCTTGCCTCCTGACCCGACGGTAAGGGTGAGTTTGGCGATTTCGGGAGAAAGGGTGGCGATGCGGGTGAAGGGGACGTAGTACAAGCGGTCATAGACTTCGTCCGAGAGGATGAGGATGTTGTGCTTGACGCATAAGTCGCCAATTGCTTGCAGCTCTGCGCGGGAAAAAACCTTGCCAATGGGATTGTGAGGAGAGTTGAGGACTATCATGCGGGTGCGCGGGGTGATGGCGGCCTCGAGCTGGTTCATGTCAATGGTCCACTCTGCTGCCGAGGTGGTCTTTGTGGCGCCCTCCTTGGGTGGGCGCATGGGGACGTAGACAACTTTTCCGCCGGGCATCTCGATGTTGCTGATGTACTGGTCGAAGAAGGGCTCGAAGACGATGACCTCGTCGCCTTGCTCGAGGAAGGCCATGAAGGCGCTGAGCATGCCCTCATTGGCGCCAGTGGTGATTGTCACCTCGGTGTCTGGGTTGAGGTCGCGGCCGAAGAAGGGCGAGTATGCGTGGGCAATGGCCTTTTTAAGGCGCGGGCGGCCCTTGGTGGGCGAGTACTGGTTGCAGTCGACCTGGTCAAGGGCGGCTTTGGCGGCGTCGAGGACGAAGGTGGGAGGGTTGTAGCCAAAGAAGCCCTGGCCCATGTTGACAATGGGCTGGACGGGCGAGGCGGCGGCAGCCTCATTGACAATGGACCAGACGTCCTGGCGCTGCCCCGCGACCCTGGTGGCGGGTTTGAAGGGGTCGGCGCGGCAGGGTGTGGCCGACATGGCTCTGCGCGGAGAGGGGGAGGAGATGATGGGGGCGATGGGGGCGATGGGGGCAGTGGTGATGGTGGTCGTGGTGGTCGTGGCTAGACTGCGAATGCTTCGGTCGAGGGCACGTCTGGCAATTGCTGCTCGCATGGCCGTCGGTGGTGGGCGGTGGTGGGATTGCGTGCTCAGGGCGGTCCGTCGTCATCGAGGGGCAGGCACAGAGTCGGGGCCGAGGTGCAGCCGATGTCGCATATCGCGTCCGCCCAAAAAAACCCGCCCGTCGCGTGCACCCGTGACGAGCCAGGCCGCCTCGATTCGACCATGGTCGACTGCCCCATCTGCTCCCACGCCGTCCACGACGCCCGCATCAACCAGCACATTGACAGCGGCTGCCAGGACTTTATCATTGACCCGGCCACGTCCACCCAGGGCCCGTCCAAGGCCCACAACTTCTTCACCCACGCCATTCGCTCCACACCGACGCCCGCCACGACGACGACAAGCACAAGCACAACATGTTCAACGTCAGCATCAACACCAACAACTACCGCTGCGGTAGTACAACGCCTCCAACGCCCACCTACACCGCCGCTACGCATCAAACGTTCCTTCACACAGTCGGCCGACCGGCTGCACCCCGATGGCGACGCCCACTCACCCTCGTCGGCCCCCAAGCGCGCCCGCAAGCTCAAGGCACTCGAGGATGCCATGCCGCTGGCTGAGCGCATGCGCCCCACATCTCTCGATCATGTCTACGGTCAGCAGCTTGTCGCGCCAGGAGGCGTGTTGCGTGCCATGGTAGATGAAGGCCGCCTGCCCTCCATGGTCCTCTGGGGCCGTCCCGGCACGGGCAAGACCACCATCGCACGCCTCATTGCAACCTCGTCGGGCGCCCGCTTCGTCGAGATCAACAGCACAAGCACAAAGCTCGAACAAGTCCGCTCCATCTTTTCCGAGGCCTTCAGTGACCTGCAGCTGACGGGCCGCAAGACCATTGTCTTCTGCGACGAGCTGCACCGCTTCTCCCGCACCCAGCAGGACGCCTTCCTTGGCCCTGTCGAGTCTGGCACCATTACTCTCATCGCCGCCACTACTGAGAACCCGTCCTTTAAGATCATCTCCGCCCTGCTGTCCAGGTGCCGCACTTTTACCCTCGACGACCTCGCAGACGGCCATCTGCTCCACATCCTCGAGCGTGCAATGGCGGCCGAGCAATGCACCTCGCCCTTGCTTGACACGCCCATGCTGCAATCGTTTGCTAGCTTCTCAGATGGTGACGCCCGAACGGCCCTCAACCTCCTCGACCTCGCCATGAGCCTTGCCAAACAGCCCAACATGACAAAGGAAAAGATCCAACAGAGCCTCACAAAGACGCTCGTATACGATCGCGCCGGCGACCAGCACTACGACAGCATATCCGCCCTGCACAAGTCCGTTCGAGGCTCTGATGCCGACGCCGCACTCTATTACCTGGCCCGCATGCTCGAGTCTGGCGAAGACCCGCGCTACATTGCTCGCCGCCTCATCGTCGTTGCCTCGGAAGACGTAGGTTTGGCGGACAACACTATGTTGTCCCTCGCGACTGCCACATACTCTGCCTGTGAAAAGATTGGCATGCCAGAGTGCCGCATCAACCTTGCCCACGCCGTGACTGCCTTGTCGCTTGCGCCAAAGTCAACACGTGTCTATCGTGCCATGAACAACGCAATGGACGCACTCAAGGAACCCGGCGTCGCTGCACTGCCCATACCCCATCATATTCGCAATGCGCCAACCAGGTTGATGAAGGACTTGGGATACGGCGAGGGCTACAAGTACAACCCACACTATCTTGACGGCAAGGTGAAGCAAGACTATCTGCCCGAAGCTCTCAGAGGGCGCTCCTTTTTGGAAGATGCCGACCTAGGGACAAAGGTTGACCCGGATCTGATTGACGATGACGAGTTGATTCCGGAGATAGATTAAGCAGCTTGCAGTAGCATCTGGTCAGTTTTGGTCTCTTGTTTACCAGATATGCTCAACGATACCCATTTTGTAGTGCGTTCATCTATTTTTTCTTCTTCTCTAAATCTTGCCCATCTCAGCCTTGCCTCGCTCTTTGGGTTTCCAAATCCTTCGCTTAGACAAATGGCTGTATGTCAAAAACTCATGCTTTGATTGCAACCTCTGCTGCCTTGACGTGTTCCGCTGTCGTGCGCCCTAATCCCTCTGAGGCGTAAAAGTCCATGGGATAGAGGTTTCTCCGCACTTTCTCTCCTGATGCGCGCTGGCCTCCATCTTCATCCAGCCACGGCGCTTCTCTTACTCTTAGAGCTACAAGCGCCTCGTACGGGCTCAGCAACGGTCTAGGAAAAGCATACCCCCAATCGATACTGAGTCTAGGACATGCAATCTGCACCCACGCCTCCACGTCGCCCATCATGGCCAGCTTTCCAGGGAAGATTTCAGACATGAGTAGACTAACGCATTTGACATTCTGCTTGGATAGCTCGTTTTCAATCAATGTCAATGTGTGCGGGTTGCCTTGTCGGCCTAGCGAACCCAAGATAATGCCCCAAGTGCGCGCTTTCCGAGCCGTCACGATGGCGCTGCGCCGGAGACTGTACAGAGACTCGTGCTCGTAAACTTCATGCGTCAGCCGTCGTGAGTATGGATCATATCGGTATGCTGGTAATTGGGGGTTGGCAATCATGGCGCTTTCGAGGTGGAACCGTCCGTCGCCGAGGTATAGTATCAGGTCCGGCACTTGCTGTTCCCTGCCTCTGCCGTCGAGCTCCCCTGCCTTCATGGCCATGGAAGGCGATGTGCATCCAAGGATTTCCCCCTTGGACAAGGGTGCAATTTGCGGCACAAACGGGTTGTATCCCTCCTTCTGCAGTATAGGCACAATACCGTGGATGGTTGCGTTGAACTGGATGGTTCCGACTAGTGCAATTGTCTTGCCCACAGCAAAGTTGTCGGTAATCGTGTTGATCAGGTGCTGGGTATCGATGGTGATGGAGACGAAGATGTACAGCGTCGCAATCTTGGTCACAGCGACCGGTATCAGGCAGCTATGCGCATAGTGTATCAGAAGGTCGCATCCGAGCGCGCGTGCTGTGTAGTCGTCTATGCAACAAGCCCCGTACGTGACATCGCCCATGATCAATGTGCTTGTGCCTGGACAAAAGCGCGTGAGGATATCGGATATGGTAGTTGCAAACAGCAGCAGCCCCTCGGGAAATTGCAGGGCAATCGACTTGGCCCCCGATGTTCGTATTCGGTGTATACATTTGTGGATTTCAAAGTTGTAATTTGGTGGCAATAGCGCAATGGCATCGTTGATCTCGTTGTCGTGAATGATATCGTCGGGTATGGCGTTTAGAGCACGAGCAGTTCGTCGAGGCTGGGCAACTAATACAATGTCAGCCTCTATATTTTGATTTTGTAATATTTTCCCTAAGATTTAGGTCAACGCCGGGTGCGTGCGGGCTCCTCACACCTTGTATCGCGCTTGAGTCCTCAATGTTGGCGTTGGGATCCACTGGCTGCCCGCTTGTCTTTTCTGCCGTCTTTCTGCCCACAAAGCGACGTTTTGGTTGTTTTGGCACAGACAGTGACTCCTCCGCTATGCCTTGATCCACATCTGGACCAAGGTTGGTTGCTGCCCGGTCGTCTTCCATCGTTTTCTCACTGCTTGCGTGACTGCAAAAGTCGTGGGCGAGGCGCGAGGGTGGTGCAGGTGGGATGCCGTGGCGGGGCTGATGGTTTTGAGACCCACACCATATACTACTGTACTTGCATAGGGCTGAAGCACATACACGCGCTATCCTGTATGACTGTCACTTCACGATCACCACGCGGAGTACGAATACAACAGTCGTGTTCTTCTTGATCGTTATTATAAATTACATACAGGTTTTGCTTGCTATTGCCCCGAGATGCAATGCTCATCAGACATTCACTTTGCCACCAAGCCAGAACCCGCCAATCCACAGGAGACCCCAGATGGGCTGGTAGAAAGCCCTGATCACAGCTGGCCCTGGACAGACGCCTGATAGACCCCACCCAATACCAAATGCGACAGCACCCATTAGAAACCTCTTATCAATATCCTGAACTGTTTTCGTCGGCAACGCGAATCGTTCGGCAAATGACGGCGGCTTCTTGAAGTCTCTGACCTGATTTTCAATCAGGTTCGGTAGCACCCCGAATATCATGACCAAGGCAAGGGATGGATCCCAGTGTTGCAAGACCGGAAAAGATAGGAATGCGGAAACTTTTGCCGGTTGTGCCATCTGTGATATCTGGAGGCCAAGGGCAAACAAAAGACCAGAGAAAAATTGCGTTGTGTTGCGTGCGGCATTGGGCAATTCATCAGCTTGTTGCTTGGTGCCATCATCGGAGCCGGTGGCCAAAGCAACGAGATGAGGTATCGTTCGTGCCGCCATGATAATGGACCCTGCTAGCACCAAAAGAGATACGGCCTCCTCCGACGATGGGTATATAGGCGTGTAGCACGGCACATCGCTTGCACATACTGAAGTGGAGAGTGTCGGGTTGGCCAGATGGTGAGTGATCATGGCAGTAGGGAAGAATAAGGCAACCGCAGTTGCAGAACGTCCGCTCAACCTAGAAAGACCACAAAGCATGTGTCCAGAAGTACAGCCGTTGGCCATCTAATCAGCAATGTCAGTTTCTTGAAAAGTGTGTCGAGACAAAGACCGATCACCTTCGTTCCCCACCCGATCAACGCGCCCACTGCAGCTGTCGCCATAGCAGCCTTGGGGCCCAACTGCACCACGGGATAAACAGTCATTAACTGTGGCCCTAGAGCTTTCAAAGGAACATAGCTAGCTGCCATGCCAGTGAAAAAAGCAGCCTGCTCCTTGGTAGGCGCTGAAAGAAGCTGGCGCAGGTACCCGCTCACTCCCAATATGTTTCCATTCTGGTAGAGAAGATTGCTGGTTGCTTGATGTAGCAGCAACGCTCCAACAGTCGTCTCAACCGGCGTGAACATCCTTTTTGTCTTTCGCATCCACACTTCCTTGGCTTGGCGTACACTCTCGTTGGTATCTCCTTACAATCTGGAATTCGACAAAATGAACTCAGGGGAACACAGCCGAGAGCAATGTGCTACTTGTATGTACATGCTCATCTTACATTTCTGACACTTTGCGTGCCCATCGCAATAGGCCACTGTTCTTGTAGTCGGCGACTACATCGCGCCAAATGGGGAATAAACCGGCATGTGGCTTTTACGATAATGAACCGCCTCCTGAAGGCGGACCGGCAGCGCTCGGCAGGAGAAACTCACAAGCTGTATAGCGTAGACCCTGACTACAATCTCCATATTGCAGGGCAATTTGATGCGGATACAGACATAGGTTGGGCGGCTGTTCTACAGCGGGCTGCATTGTATAATGTCTGTGTTGTGGGTGCGCATCGTGGTACTAGGGGCTGACTAGACAGCCCCCACGTCGCCGACGTCGCTGCTATGCCACCGACTATCACCCGCAAGTCCGTACTAAAATGACCGAGCACCTTACCCACCGTAAGCGAAACAAGTCACGGTGAGCCTTGTGCACGTAGCTTCGGTGTCTTTGCAACCTCTGTATCAAAATAGGACCCCGAAGTTAACAATGTAGAAAACTAATTAGCTATTTTAGATAGGGAATCATGTTCTCTTCTTAATAACTCGCAAGAAATCCTAATATATAGTGGTATTTAAGATAGTAGAATAGAAATTTTAGCCTATCTAGGATTCTTAATTTATATAAGCAATTAATAGAAAGCAGTATTATAGGCATAAGACCTAATATAAAGTACTATTTATAAGGCATTATCGGTTGTATATATAAAGAGATACACTAAAGATATACTCTTATAAAGTATTTTCAATCTAGCGTCTATTCGAGGACAATATTTATATATTAGTAGACTTACTAACAACTAAACTTTTGATAGATTATATTATATTTAATTTATTCAATATATAATCTTAAGAATTTTAATTTAATAGCGTGGTAAATAGTTGATGGTACGTAGGAATTATATCATCTTTGCTAATACTAGTCTGAAGTTAGTATTTCTTCGCTGACTTTGAATCTCTCTAAAAGCTCTTTAACTTAGTAATGTAGCTTTTTTTATTTAACTCTAATAGTACTAGCGCTAGAAGTAAGATAAAAACATCTTTATATAAGAGTTATACTTGCTACTTTAATATAAATTCTCTTAGAGAGTTATATAATTTTATATACATTAGTTATATCGTTTGGGAATATAATATATAATACTATAAACTTATATTAGACCTACAAATCATGCTAAGTCTTATCTATTCTAGAATCTTAAACAATTTATTATAATTTGTTGAAGTTACGAAGGTCGCTACCTATTTACTCTCCTACTGCTTGATATCTTTCTTTGTAGTCCACTTATCTAGTTTAAACTACTTATCACCTAATCAAAATATAAAATATAAATCTAATAAGAAATATTATTATCTAAGAGTATATATACTATAACAACTATGTTAAGTGGGTGGTGTAAAGTACTGATAAGACTGTTCTAAGATGATAATGCTTACTCGTCTATATGTGCAATGATCATGTAAAAGTGTATAGATCGTGGCTGTATATAGTACTTATACTGCGCTGCGACGATAAGACAGTAAATAACTCGTCGCTCGGCCCGCGAAAGACGAAGACACATTTTGCTAACGGCTCCCTTCCCGACATAATACCTGATTTCAAGGACTGCGCGGCCTTTGCTCGCAGTAGGAATCTGCTTATTGAAGTCATGATCTGGCCCACCCCGTATAAGGAGATAAAGTCCTGTCTGTAAGAACATATACTTTGATATTGTTAGGAGTTGCCTTGCGCAGATGGAGTTTAGCTGTCTGAATGGGGAGTAGAGGGATAGTATGTATGGCCGGAGGGATCTAGATAATGATAGGTCAACGTGTAATTTTCCGGTGGCGTTTGTCACGTTGAATGCGAATAGTAGTGGCAAGGCGTTGGGGTGCAGATGCAGTGTGCGGTGGCTGTTGCTAGAGTGGTCGCTGCTATGGTGTTGGCTTGAGATGGAAGAGACGACGTTGTGTTCCCCTGGTAGTCAGGTAAGAGAAAGGCATGAGCGGGGGTTTAGCATTGTTCTGGCGTTGCAACGAATATCATCATCTAACCTTTGCTTTCACAAAAGCTACCTCTCACACACTAAACTCTAACCTATTCCCCACAAAGTCTCGTGCAAAGAACCTCGTCGGGTACTCAATGCCCTCCGTCCCACTGTTCTTCGCACCAGGCTTGTCAGCCATTAATGGCGCGCTCTCGCCTTTCCTCTCAAAATGCTCCCATACCCTCGTTTGTAGTTCGTTCAGCGCTTCTACGCTGCCAACCCGGAAACAGGGATGGCGTGAGGAGTGGTGAGCAAAGTCCTCGGGCTTGCCAACCGCTACGTGCACTTGCTGGCCTGAGGTGCCGATATCGAACCATGCGAGTGTTTCACGCTGGAGATGGGGTACGGGGCGTGGTGTGAGGCCGAGGGTTTGAGAGTAGAATTCGTTGGCGAGGTGGAGGGTCGAGGGCGGTACCACGAGATTGATGTGGTGGATGCCTGTTATCATGTTGGGCGAAGATGTGAGGTGAGTTTGTTGGGTGGTATGAGGACTTGACGCTGCATCGTGGGGTGAATGCTGATTGCGGGGTCAAGACGTCGAGGCGGGCGCGGGTCCCACGGGCTATTGGTGGTGGCTTATCAGAGACGACGTTTAGCCTAAGCCACACGCAACCTCTCACCTGAAGAACACTCAGTCTTGCATGTTAGCGACAAGATGGTTGCTTAGATGCAGCATACACTCAGCCTCTTACGTCCTTCAAGGCCAAACATGTGCTGTTATGGTTTCACTGGTCTGACCTGCGTTCCCCGCACTGTAGGTCGCCAGTGTTGCCTATATACTTTGATTTTAAGTGCAGTCAGACGGTCTGTTTCTGCTCAAACGAAACATTTAGTTATCACATTCTAGATGGCAACGCAAATGTCATTTACCACACTGCCCGACACATGCGACCCCTTTCTGTCGAGTGCAGACCACCTCTGCGATGACTGCAGCAGCCTGGGGCACGAGATTAGGCAGCTTTGTGAGGTGGAGGACTACTCTATCTCGAGACCCCGAGATTCGGTGGAGAGGAACAGCTCGAGTTGTGCATTCTGCGAGATGATAGCCTCCGATCCTGGGCTGAAGTCTGGCACAGGAGACTTCATCATCCACAATAAGAGACATAGGAGTGAGAGTGGTTCTCGCCCAGCCGACGGTATCGAAAGACTGACAGTCGAGCGTGAGAGCCGACTGTGTCTTAGATTGGCTATTTTTACCACTGAATGTGAGGAATTGTTCCAGTGTATAATTGGAAAAGACGGGGGCTGATTGTTGACACAGGCAGCGTACCCGCCATGGCCAAACATGTCTCGGGCAGATGCATCAAGGCCGCTTCGAATCTTGATCAAGCAAGGCATTGGTTGAACGACTGCCTTCGCAACCATGACCACGGTTCGAGTAGAGCTGCTACCCATCCGTCTAGGCTTTTGGCAGTAGGTACTGCAGATGGGTCGGAGCAGATCAGAATTGTGGACAACTTGGATTCTAATGCAAGGTATCTAGCAGTCAGCTATCGTTGGGGCGGCATGAACAGCTTGCTTGCTACTGCCAAGATGTCTGAGCTATTCCGCACGTCGATCGCTTGGGATAAACTCCCCAGAACGTTCCAAGACGCTATACAGATCGCACGTGAGTTACGCATCGGCTATGTTTGGATTGACTCTCTGTGCATCACCCAAGACGACCCAGACGACTGGGAGATTGAGTCTGCTAAGATGGCAGATATCTATAATGGCGCTTTATTAACTATCATGGCCGCCTCTGCGTCAGACAGCCAGGGCGGGTTCTTTCGAGATCGTGCCACAGTCAAGGAGATAGTAGCTTTACCATACACTGATACAAGTTGGTCCACGAAGTTTAGTGTTTTTGCTGGAAGAAACCTCGCAGGCTATGAGGATATCGTAGTCAGTGGTCCACTGTTTGGTCGTGGCTGGGTCTTTCAAGAGCGACTGATGTCAAAGAGGAAGTTAATATTCGGCCAAGACGAGACCTATTGGGAGTGCAACAGCTTAATCCAATCTGAGTCGAGTATTCGACGTCGGGACAAGTTTGCAAATATGAACAGGCAGGACAATGATGCTTTCCGGACCTTTTCTGATCTCTCCTACAAACCAGATGAAACTTGGGGCAAAACATCGCCGACAAACTTGTGGCACAATGTAGTCGTGGAGTATTCCCGATGCTCCTTGATCTACGAAACAGACAGGCTTCCTGCCCTCAGCGGACTTGCAAGGACTTTTGCACAACGATTCGGCGGCACCTATGTAGCAGGATTTTGGCTAGACCAGATACCTCAATCAATGTCATGGTACAAACCCTCTCACATGTCGAAAAAAAGCTGTAACCAAGTTTACTGCGCCCCATCATGGTCCTGGGCATCAAGAATTGGCGGAATCAATTTCCGTACAGATTGGGGCATCAACGAGCTGGAGGTAGTGAGTACAGACATAAAACTTGGTGGTCGGGACCCATACGGCAGGGTGTGCCCCGGTAGTAGCATATGCCTTCGAGGTAGGTTGCGCAGTGGAAGACTGGTCGCAAGAGAAGACGAGTATACAGCGTGGTTGGAAACTAAACACGGACGACTCAGAAGAAGAGGGTTTCTCGATCGGAATGATGAAGATTTGCCCCTCGAAGTCAGCTTCCTAGAAGTCTCACCTGGTTTCGGTAAGACGCACGCGTGGTCGCATTGCCTCTTACTGCACAGAACAGCGACAGAAAATCACTTTCGGAGGGTGGGTTTAGCTGATCTTGATGAAGTCAGTCAAGCCGAAGACTACCTATTCCATGGCCTAGAGAAGCAGGTCGTCACAATATTGTAACTTCAACGATGCTAGACTAAGGCACAATTAATCTAATCAATTCAGAGTGTATAATGTACCTTGATAGGTAATGAACGTGATGGGATATGACTAAATGTGGCGGAAATCTCACTTTTGGGAGACATGGTGTATGAATTCGCGGAGGAGAAGGGGTATAAGAAACTGAGGAGTATATTGTTGATGAACTTGGTTCACACTCAATATACGCTCGTTTCAGCTAACCAAATAAGCCGAAGCGAACTGATCAAAGCTCTTTACCATTCCCATATTCAAGCGTCAGGGTACCAATGTCAACATTTTCAATCGTCCGAGCCTATATGTTCAGCTCACTACTAAGCCCAGTCTCGATCATGCTTCACTCACGTTGACCGCCATTACATCATAATTCTCATATATACTGTTAAAATCGATCAACAAGCTTGTGCCACACTGGCGGCGGAACCAGTGGTCTTTCTTCTTGATGTGGAACTGATACTTATGCACTTGGTTCTTCGAATCTCCATGGAAGACAACATCGGAGCGATTCGGGTAAACCAAGAGATGGCCATGGACAACACAGATGGAGCAGTTACATTGCATGACTGTGTTGTCTACCAGATGCGAAGACAGTGTCATAGTAAAACTCACTTCCCCACATCTAAGCAAGTAGTCAGTACAGGTGCGCAGGGGAACTTCAGATACCACGTATGAATGGATTGTCTACGACAACCTGCGCGCCTTGTACTTGTCCGGAGGATTGTGAGCTTCGATGACCGAAGCTCACACCATAACGTTCAGATACGGTGTTAAGAAGAATGACAGCTTGACTTACTAGCATTTGCAACGGTATGCTTAAGGTGATCTGTTGGCACTTTCTTCCGACATCTTAGCGGCAAAAAATCACGTCAAGGCGTAGGTGCGACTTAGTTCGTCAAGGACGGCGTTGCCTTAATGGCGTTGTTATGGAGGAAGTCGTGCAGCAGAACAACATTTTGTGTTCAGATGAACATTCCCCCATTATCTAGACCTGGCCGTATGTAGTGTTGTTTCCCGAAAGGCGCCTGTGCAGATAACCTAAGCCTTAGACTAGTGTATGTAAGCCTACTGACAGAGAGCGCACCTGAGCGCCCAATTAGGCAAACAACGGCACCCGGAAGGCAAATGAATTCTGACAGGGGCCTTGAGCTCAAGTTGTCACCAAGATTGCGCGATTACCTGCCACCCTGCATTCACTCACTATAGCTAGTGTCTTCAGTATACGATCAGGATCTAAAGTTAAGTCGATCCAGACGTTGCGTATTACACTATTTATCCTTGCGAAACAGAGATCCTTCGCAATCGTAAAGTGGCTACTGTGTGTAGTCAGTGTGTGCAATAGTTCAGCCAATACAACACTATCTACCTAACTAGAATCTCTATATATAATTTTAATTGTTTAATTTCTCTATTATCTTAATAGCTATTAAGAAGGAATTTATAATCATTTATTTTAAGAATATAAAAAGTAAGCTTTTATACTAAATAGTTATATGATAGATTAGTAGTAAAGTAATATATTAACGCGCTAGAAATAAAATAAAATATATTAATAATGAGTGGGTATAAAAATATAAAGTAGTCACTCTACTATAAAAGTCTAAATATTATATAGAGTCTACATCACTAATACTTCTCTAGTTTAATATAGGTTAAGGTAATTTAGATAAGGGTTAGCGTTGTGTAAGTTATAAAGTAATTCATTATAGAAAAGAGTTATAGATATAACGAATATCTAATAATACTTATCTATTTATTAGACTAATATATAGCTATTTTATAGAAAAAATCATAGTAATAAGAAAATATAATTTAAGTTAACTATAGTAAAAGTAATAATAATATCTATATATTCTTTTTATAGTAGTAAAAAGAAAGAGGTAGATTTTGGATTAGATTACTAAGATTTAGATTTAGTTAGGTTAGGTAGTAATTACGTAAGACCTAACCTCTATCTTTATTTAACTCTTAGTAACCTAATCTCTATCTCTATTTAACTCTTAGTAATCTGTATCTCTATATTTATCTATCTCTTAATAATCTTTATCTCTAACTCTATCTAGATAAAATACTATAAGTTTAATAAATATAGAGATTAGGTTTTATATAAATTAGAATATTTTTCTCTAACGTATTTTATATATAAGCGGCATACCTAAGTAATTAGTCTACGCTCCACTAACACGCTTACTTTCAGATAATATTATATGCTTTTATTATCTTTAATAATTTATTATACTATACTAAATTACTACTTGGAACTATTACTATTATAAGTACTATCTATTTTAACTAGCGTGTTTTATAAGCGAGTCGGCTAACTAAGCGAGTTGGCTACTTTACTTTAACGCATTAATATTCATACTATAATATATAATAACTTAATAATACGTCTCTTCAACTTTATATTATAAATAATATCTTTAAATTACTCTTTTTAATATCTAATTAAAATATATTTAAAGCTAAAGACGTGCTACCTCTATCTATAATATACCTTAAACTACTCTTTAAGACTAATATACTAGAAAGCGCCCCTAATATACCTATAAAACGAACTTAAAGTAGCTTAATAAGCTAAAAAACAAAGCTATAGTTAAGTATATTCTTAAGAAGTTTAGATAAAAATTTAAATCTATAAATTTATTATTTAAGTTATAACTTATAAGCTATTATATAAGTATAGAAGGAACTCTATTAAAAAAACTAGATTAATAAGTTTATTAAGTATACTTTTAAATTTTAAATATACTAGAGCTATTCTTATTATTACTAGTAGACTATTTATAAAGATCTAGTAGCTTTATAGTAGTAGTTTAATCTAATTAAAATATTAATATTAAAGTAAAGAATTATAAATAATCATATTTATAACTTTAATAAGACTAGCTTTTTAATAGATAAGATTTTATAATAGTTAACGTGTTTCACC